CAAAAGTCAACCATGAATAAACAAAAAACAATATATATTTTAATAATTAAGCTATACTTTTTCATCAATGACATCATCATTAATTATTTAACAAATAAATATTACAATAAAACTTTTGGTGGATACATATATAAAATATGCAGAATAATTTGAATCTATATTATCAAATAAAAGAGTAAAAATACTAATCATTATTAAACTAAATGGTTATGGTTAAAATTTAATATCTTGAAGATGGTTAATAATGCGATCCAAACGTTATATTAACTTAAATTAAATAAAGCATAATTAAGTATATCAATGACAGTATGATTAATTATTTAATAAATAAACAAATAATACAATCAAATTTTTAAAAAGCACACATATATATATAAAATACATAGAATAACTCGAACTTATATTATTAAATGAAGAAATAAAAATACTAACCATCGTTAAACTAAACGGGTGTAGTTAAAATTTAAAATTTTGAAGATGGGTAAGAATGCGATCCAAGCGTTTTATTAACTGAAATCAAATACCACATAACAGAGTCAGCTTATTCTCTAATGGGCTAAAATATGGCCCATCCACACACCGTTGGCCTCGTTGTGTTTTTAAAGTTTGACTATTTGACCTTATCACACCGCAGATCCACATTATCAAAACTCTTTAAAGCGGGAAAATAAATAAAGCGCTATTCCTCTGGTTCTGGATTCTGATTTATTTTGTACTCTCTTTCTCCCTAGTCCTGAAAATTAGAAATGGAGAGAATACATGTAACAGTTCGAGCGAGGCCATTATCGCCGGAGGACGCTAAGACAAGTCCCTGGAGAATCTCCGGAAACTCCATTTTCATCCCTAACCATCCCTCCAAGTTTGAATTTGGTAACCTCTCCTCTCTTTCCGCCATTTGGTGTTGTTATTGGTACTATTATTTTCAAAAATTTTTCCACGCTCCGGTTCATAATTTATTGTTCCTGCGGTTTAAATGTTACATTGATTGGTTCTGTGGTTATAGACAAGATTTTCGGAGAAGAATGTAGGACTGTAGAGGTTTATGAAGCTCGCACTAGAGAGATTGTTGCGGCGGCTGTTGGTGGATTCAACGGTGAGTTTGATTTCACTATAACTGGAACTTTCTTTTGATTGATTGTAACCAATGACGTTTCATTTCAAAAATCAGGTACTGTTTTTGCTTATGGACAAACTAATAGTGGAAAGACGCATACTATGCGGGGCTCGCCTGCTGAACCTGGAGTTATCCCTCGTGCTGTTCAGGACTTGTTTGACATCATACAACAGGTTAACATTCCTGGAATTGTATCATCAATTTTTACAACTCTCGATTTATTGTTTGAATTATGGAGGAAAAGACTAGCTGGCATGCAGTGCGTGAAACTTCAAAGATTTTTTATTTGTGTTTTTATTGTGAAATTATCTACCAATTTAATTATATGAATTGACTAGACCTCTTATGAGTTGAACTAATTGAATAGGTTAGTTAAAAAGCAGAATATTTTTCTTTGCTTTTTCACTGATCAGTGATCTTCAAAAGGGAGCAGTGATCCTATATCGATATGATCCTGAATCGATGTGTTAAAAAGAATTTCATTTCTCTAGCTGTATATTTCATTTACAATGACCTAAAAATGGTAATGGATTCATTGCCAAATACCTAGAATGTATACAAGGAAAGTGAAGCAAAGGCGAAGACAAAAATAATATATAAAGAATTAAATGATGTCTGTTCTCATTTCTAAAATGTTCCTTTCTGAGATATCTGAACTGTATCCGTAATTAAGTCAAATATTAGTTTAGTTTATTTTTCTCCTCCCCTATATTTTAGGATGCAGGTCGAGAGTTTCTCCTGCGCATGTCCTACTTAGAGATTTATAATGAAGACATAAATGACTTGCTGGCACCTGAGCACCGAAAATTGCAAATTCATGAAAGTCTAGAGGTAACCAAATTCCTGGTTAGGCATATACTTACGACAAGTTGCTGATTTTGATTGATATTGGTGTCATTTATCTCTGTATTATCAGCGTGGCATATATGTTGCTGGCCTGCGAGAAGAAATTGTTGCCTCTCCTCAGCAAGTTCTTGATCTCATGGAGTTTGGAGAGTGTATTTTTCCTCTTCTACAATATTTTCTTTTCATTCTTTCCTTTGAACATTGGTCAAAACTATCTTATATACATCTCTTAACGTTGTTTGAAATTTAGCACATCGGCGTATTGGAGAAACTAATATGAATCTCTACAGCAGCAGGTCCCACACCATTTTCCGCATGGTAATTATGTGGCATATATATATATATATTTCATGTCTTAATATTAACATGTCTGCATCTTGTAATTTTTGTGGCCCCCATGGTTGTTTACTAAAACAGATTATTGAGAGTCGGGAGACAACTGGAGATGAGGATATTGGGACTGCTTGTGATGCTGTCCGTGTATCAGTTTTGGTACAAGACCACTAGAGTTCTCCTGCTCCAGTTCTTAATGAATTATCATAATTTTGCCTTTCTGATCTGCAATCACTTTTGCATTTCTTCCCTGTTTTATTTTAGAATTTAGTGGACCTTGCTGGTTCAGAACGAGCTGCAAAAACAGGGGCTGAGGGTGTTAGGCTTAAAGAGGGTTCCCACATTAATAAAAGCCTGATGACATTGGGAACGGTCATTAAAAAGTTGAGTGAAGGTGCTGAAAGCCAAGGGTATGTTATTCAAAGCTTAAGATTATGTGTGGCGTTCTTTTTAGCTTATACATATTCGTCACTATGTTAATTTTGGATACAGTGGTCATGTTCCATACCGTGATAGCAAACTTACACGGATTTTGCAACCTGCTCTGGGTGGAAATGCAAATACAGCTATAATATGCAATATAACGCTTGCACAGGTAACCATTAGCAACCATTAGAGTGATGGTTGAACATTATTAAATGCAAATATCTTAAAATGTTGTCTCTTCCCTTCAATAAAGAACACATCTTGTTGCTGATGTTAAGATAAATTAGAAGGTACAACATGAGGGAGGCTTTTTCTGACCTATTGCTTTTTCTAATATGAACATAAGTATGCAGGTACTTACTAAAACATGCATTTACAATATAGTTAAGTTTTTTCTGGGTGTTGGTCAGAGCCGAGGAATATCAGAAGCAGGAAATTTGTCATGGATGCTTATTCTTATTTTCTGTTATAATTAAGTTTCACATATATATTTTTGACGCCTAAGGCATAGATTGACATATGGATTCTTTCCCCTGCCTTTTAGTAGTATTACCAGACTTGATAATCTTATTATTTAGCATTTTCATCTTGATGGAAGATTCATGCAGACGAAACAAAGAGCAGTCTTCAATTTGCGAGTAGAGCATTGCGTGTTACAAATTGTGCTCGTGTGAATGAGGTTAGCTCTAACTATGTTGTTTTTTTTTCTTATCTTTATTATTTATTGTTATTCCTTTCAGTCTTGTTGTTGGTTATGTAAGATCTTACCTGAGATGTTTTCTGTTACATATTTTCATGGTCTAGAATTTTGAGTGTAATATATCTCATTCTATTTCTTCCTTACAGATTTTAACTGATGCTGCCCTCTTAAAACGGCAAAAAAAGGAAATCGAGGAGCTTCGTGCAAAACTACAGGTGAGCATTTCTTTTTCATGATAGATGCAATTCTTGATACACGATTGCTTTGAAGAGATGCTTCTGGAGATGTTGTTATGATAACTGTTTGGTTTGTTTCTTAGGGTTCTCGTTCAGATCATTTGGAGGAAGAGATTCTCAATTTACGTAACACTTTGTTACAGGTATAGTGATTTTAGAGCAAATTACATGTTTGCTTCTTGTGATATCTATCTTAGTTAAAATCTTTATTCATTCTTTTTAGGTGGCAATTTAGTTCGTGTAGTGTTCTTTTTTCTTCATAAAACTGTTAGTTTTTTCAGAGTATATTTAGATGTGACTGTAATATATATATATATATATATATTATGTAAACATGGAAGTTTAAGTGAAGGTTTTAATCGTTCAGTTTGCTTGACAGTCTGAATTGGAGAGGGAGCGAATAGCATTGGAATTGGAGGAGGAAAAGAAAGCCCAAGCTGAACGAGAGAAAGTGTTGCAGGAGCAGGAAAAGAAGATAAAAAACTTGAGTTCGATGGTATTATATTCAAATAAGGAGGGGAATCGTGACCATGTCAAAAAGGTTTGCTAAACTTTGTCCATTTTTTTGGTTCCAGTGAGTTTTTTTTCCCTCACCTACCTTGTTTTTTCTTCTTTTTTAAGAACCCTTTATCATATATACTTCTTTGGATGGAATCACTAGCGAACCCTTTAAATTTTAATGTTCATAAAGAGTACATTATACCTTTGTCTAATTTCTTTTTCGACTTGAGTCTTAACCTACACCATAATAAACCCAATTTATGTGTAATCTTAATAAATGTTGGAAGCAAAATCTTTATGCATTGCATCTCTGTTGATGAAAAAGCTTTTATACATGGTCACACCTGAATTGAGCAACAAAGATATAGGATATTCTTAATATCTTAATTGTAAAGACATGTTTCATCCAAGCTTAAATGATTTTGGTGATCATGGAGACTTGGATTACTTGCATGTCCTTTCTACTAGTCGCTAAGAAATATGAATGAATAGCTAATAATTGCCCTTGTCTAATGGAGAAACTACCGTTGAAAAACCCAAAAGGAAAATGAGCTGTAAGATATAACATAAAGTAATATATTGATGCGTTTTATTCAGTGAGATCATAGTTCATAGATTTTAGGATCAAGATTTGGCTTCAGTGTTATATAAAATGATAGAGTTAGGTGACCAATTATCTTAATAACATAAGCTAATTGGAAATGACCTAACTTAATTGTCTCACATATCTTCACAGTCTCATTTCCTCTTATTACCGTCCACTCTTCTCTGCCTAGTATTGGATCTTGTAGCTAGATGTGTACTAAACAACCAGAATGGTTTGTTTTGGCTGGGTATTGACTTTCTCGATTTTGGTTTGTATTAAGACCTAAATCATAATTTTTAATTTGGTTTCAGTTTAGTTTTGAAAAATTTCTTAAGTCAAACCAAACCGAAATTCAAATTTTCTATTTATATAATTAGAAAATAATATATAATATATAAGCATACAATAAACTGTTAACTAATTAAATGTCTACCTCATTGGTCATAAATACACAAAATGTACCTCTCTCAGAGTTTCAGTGAAAATCGTTCTCCATCTCTTGTTTCTTATCTTCTTTTTCCTTTTCCACCCACAAACTCAC